TCGACGCCCGAGGAGCTGCCGCCCTTGCCAGACGGAGAGGCGGCGCCTGCACCTGGCACCCCTGAGTCACGCGTGGCAGGTAGTTGAAAACCTAGCACCTAGCAGGCATGGTTGACATTGCTGCGTTGCAGGCTCAGTTCGAATTCTTCAGAAGCGTCGCGCCGATGGGCAGAGGCTGATGGTGAAAACTCATCGCCCTCTGGACCAGGGGCTCGCATCGGTAGTCAGGCATCTGGATGTGAAAGATGGCTTGGCGTCGAACCAGCCGCAGAGGTCAGCGGATCGACGCGCCGAAGCAGGCGCGCATGAGGATCGTCTCATTCTCACGCAGCTCACCCCTTCAGTCGCAGATCGAGCCATCGCCGTGGCAGGCAGCTCGGCGTCAGGAGCTGCAGCATCTACATATTTCTTCCATCGGGGAATCAGGGGCAGTCGGCCATGCCGCCGCCAGAAGTGGCAGCGTTCGCCCAGGACAAGAGCCCGCGATGGCGGGCGTCGGATGTCCGATCGTCATCTAACATTGCGCGAGATCAGGAACCTACCCCACCTGCCCCCTATAAGTCTCTTCCCCTTATTTAACATTCCGTTTCTTAACCTCGCTAGGAATGGTTTCAGAGGCCACGGGGCTGGGCAGTCTCTCATTTCAGCTCGCGTCGCATGCCTCTCTGGACGCAGGGGACAGCATAATGCCCGGCTAAGAACGCCGAGGTTGATGAGCGGGCCGGTTTTTCTTCAGCGCGCGTCTACACATGCGGCGCCGGGGGCCAGGGCGACGCGGCCCCGCCAGCATGGGCAGTCCGCAGGACAATGAACAGCGTATAATCGAAACTGTTTGTGTGGTGACACGGGTTGTCGCGAGAGAGGGATCAGAGAACAGCGTTGGGCCGGTTGCGCCCCTCACGCGCTCACATGTGTAGCGCGCGCCGCCGCCTGCAGTGCCTGCTGATCTCTTTCACTCTCACAGCCAGGACTTCCTCCTCTCCTCCTCCGTCATAACTTGTGTTTGTTGCGCAGATTCATAACTTGTTGTATGTCTCGCAGTTCCTACGCATGTCTGCATGTCTACAGGAGGCCATGGCCTCAGCCACCTGGTCTTAGCAGTGCCCGGACAGCTGTCCGATGTGGTGGTTCGTTCGTTTGTTCGTTTTTTTTGTAATTTTGCGCCAGGGCCGATCAGCTGGGGTAAGGCGCACGCTGTTGCGTACTCGAGCGGAAGCCCTCAGAGTATCGACGGGCGCACGACGCCGCTCCTCACGCCTGCAGGGGTGGCGCCTGTGCCCTGCGGCCGTTGCTCTGCATTGCTTTGAATTGTGTTGCTTTGCCTTGCTTTGAATTGTTTTGCATTGCGTTCCTTTGCATTGCTTTGCATTGTCTTGCATTGCTTCGCATTACTTTGTCTTGCTTTGTATTGCATTGCTTTACATTGCATTGTTTTGCCTTGTTTTGTGTTGCTTGCGTTGCTTTGCATGGCATTGCTTTGCGTTGCTTTGCGTTGCTTTGCATTGCTTCGCGTTGCTGCGCGTTGCTCTGTCTTGCTTTGCATTTCTTTGTTTTTCGTTGCATGACATCGCTTAAATTGACTTGCATTGTTTTGAGATGCATTGCTTTCTTTGCTCTGCATTGCTTTGCTTTGCTTTGCTTTGTTCTGCTTTGCATTGCTTTGATTTGTATTGTTTTTTTCTACTTTAGCTGGGCCTGCGGGCCTGTCTGGCGGCTCCGTGATCGCCGTCGCCGCCACGTCGCCGCCACGTCGCCGCCTCGTCGCAGCCCGTCGTTTGGTCCTGCGTGCCCGTCTGGCGGATTGCACCGCATATAATGCACCGCATAGATTGGCCAACATACATTGCACCACATCGATTGCACCACGTAGGTTGCACAACATGTATTGCGTTTCATGGACTGCACCACATGCATCGCACTACTACAGATGTTGCACCATAAAGATTGTACAACATAGGCTGCATCAACTAGCTTGCACCCACATAGCTTGCACCTCATATATTACACCACATGGATTGCACCACATGGATTGATCCACATATCCGTAAGGTCTTCGCCCCCTGTCGCCGGCTACCTCTCTATCAGAGTGGGATATATCAGAGTCTCGTCGGTGCGTTTCGGCGCTGCCTTGACGCATCTGGAACATCATGTGGGGGCGGATATGGATCATCAGCGCATATTGAGACGTTGGCGTTCTCCTAGTGGCTTTCGGCCCATCCCGCCACCGTGCCTGGGTTGTGAGTCTGAGGCCTCTTGTATATGTGTTGGGGTGTCGTGGGGAGCCTCTCGGGGGCCTCGAGGCGGTTTGGGCGCCTCTTGGGGACCTCTTGGGGCCTCGTGGGGTATATTTTGGGCCTCTTGGACGCCTCCTGGGCGCGTCTTGGGCGCCTCTTGGGGCCTCTGGGGGCCTCTTGGCCGCCTCCAGGGGCCTCCGGTTCGTGGTCCCCTGCTTGGGCTCCTCTTGGGGCCGTCTTGGGGCCCTCTTGGGCCGTCCTGAGCGCTTCTTGGGTCATCTTGGAACGCTATTGTGCTGTCGTGGAACCCTCTCGGAGGCATCTTGGGCTGTCTTGGGGCGGTCGTGGGAGCTTCTTGAGCCGTCCTGGAGCGTCGGAAAGCCGAAAACGCGAGAAGGCCAAAATCCTTCAAACACCTGAGTAAAGTCTAAGATTTGGGCCTCTTGGCGCCCTCTCGGGAGGCCTCTTGGAGCACTTTTGGGGCCTTTTTGGGCCCTCTGGAGCCGTCCTGGAGCCATCTTCGGCCGCCTTGGAGCACTCTTGGCCTCGGCAATGCGAAATCGGTGTAATTTGCAAAGGTTTATGGCGTCGGGGATGCGAGTATTGTGTAATTTGCAAGAGTTTGTTGCCTCGGGAGGGGGGAATATTTTGTAATTTGCGAGGGTTTGTTGCCTCGGGGACGCAACAATTGTATAATTTATGAGGACTTGTGGCCTCGGGGACGCGAACATGGTGTAATGTACAAGGGATTCTGGCCTTGGGGGCACGAGTCTCACGAATTTTTTACTTGTCCCCTCCCCCAGGGAGTTTAGGCAACGCGATCCGGGCGTGGTGAAGTGAATCCTTGTGGGCTCCCCCCCCTCGCGCGGACTTCAACAATTTACAGGAGAAAGCAGAGAACAGGACTGTAACATTCGATACTTGAAACTGCAACTGGTGCAGGGAGCAGCAACCTCGTCCGACAGCCTGGTGGCCCCCAGGGGGCCGGCGGATACTGTCCAACATATTTTGCACCGCATAGATTGTTCAAGTGGGATCGCACGACATATATTGCACACCACATAGATAGCACAAAATAGACCTTACCACGTAAATTCCCCTTTCTAGAAAGAGAACAGACTCTACCCCCCCGGCGTTATCCGTTCCCCTTTCGGGTATATAAATCATTTATGATTCTGACCACATGTCCATCCTACATATGAATTTACATTATCCCAGGAGGGCCGGGATCGGTCCCCCTGAGGTTCCCTTGTTAAAAACAGTACGCGGGGACATTTTTTGTTCTAACATAACACTTTTTCACGAATCCTTTGCAAACAATTGGACGAAGTGCACACGCGCGCGTCGTCGCGCGCGCATGCCGAAATCCTTCAAAAACCTTCGGTGTCGGAAGGATTTCGCAATCGATTTTCCCAACATGCATACAAAAACACAGGGTTTCGCAACACAGGGTTTCGCAACACAGATTTGCAAAATAAGCTTACGCGCGAGCTCTTGCGAAATCTTGAGAAAACCATAGGTTTTTCAAGATTTTCACAAAATGCTACCAAACGGGCTTCGCGCGCGCATGTCGAAATCTGTCGAACGCCCCTGCGCGTGTGCCGTCGCGAGAATCCTCTGCAAAAAATGGGACGAAGTGCAGACGCGCGCGTCGTCGCGCGCGTATGCCGAAATCCTTCAAAACCCATCGGTTTCGGAAGGATCTCAAAATCGTGTGTCCAGAAAACCTACAAAACACAAGGTTTCGCAACTCGGATTTTCAACAAAAGCGTGCGCGCGCGATCTTGCGTCGTCGTCGTCGTCGTCGTCGCCGTCCTCCCTCCTCCCGCGTCGTCGTCGTCGTCGTCGCCTACGTCGTCGTCGTCGTCGTCGTCGTCCTCTGTCGTCGTCGTCGTCGTCGTTGTCGCCGTGGTCGTCCTATTTCGTCGCCGTCGTCGTCGTCGTCGTCGTCGTCGTCGTCGTCTTCCCTCCTCCCTCGTCGATGTCGTCGTCGGCGTCGCCGTCCTTCCTCCTCCTTCGTCGTTCGCGTCGTCGCCGTCCTCCCTCCTCCCTCGTCGTTGTCGTTGTCGTCGTTGTCGCCGTCGTCGTCCTCCCTCCTCCCTCGTCGTCGTCTTCGTTGGCGACGTCGTCGTCGTCTTCGTCGTCGACGTCGGCGTCGGCGTCGTCGTCGTCTTCATCGTCGTCGACGTCGGCGTCGTCGTCGTCGCCGCCGTCGTCGTCGTCGTCGTCGTCGGCGTCGTTGACGTCGTCGTCGTCGTCGGTGTCGTCGTTGTCGTCGTCGTCGGCGTCATCGTCGTCGTCGTTGTCGTCGTCGTCGTCGTCGGCGTCGGCGACGTCGTCGTCGTCGTCGGTGTCGTCGTCGTTGTCGGCGTCGTCGAAGTCGTTGGAGACGTCGTCGGTGTCGTCGTAGTCATTGTCGGCGGCGTCGTCGTCGTCGTCGTTGTCGCTGCCGTCGTCGGCGTCGCTGTCGTTACCAAGTGCCATTTGGTACCCACCGTCACGGTCTTAAGAGATTTTGCAAACCAAGTTGCGGGTGGGTGGGTGGGATGTTTGCGCGAGCAGTGGAGTGGACAACTCATTGCGAACAGAAAGTAAGCTGCACCGCATAGACTGCACCGCACATATTGCACCACGTAGGTCTCACCACACATTCTGCTTCACATCTATTGCATAACATATATGGTTAGGAACACACTGTTTGGGGGCCACGCTGGCTAACACACGTACATCTATCTATCTATGCATTTATAGACTTCCCGGCTCCAGGATAACAAGACTGCGGACGACTACTACGCGGTGCCCGACAATTCGACGGGAGACAACGAGTCTCTCCACAACGTGTCAGATGTCTTCGACAATGTTAGCACTTCTTATGAAAATGCTTCTTCAGACGTCAACATGAGCATTGTTGAAAAGAACGCCAGCGTGGAAGACGTGACCATACCTGCAGGGAATGACACAGATACCAACGTGAGCATGAACAACGTGTCAGATGCATTCGACAATGCGAGTAGTCTTGAGGACAATGCGACAGAGGAAGTCATTGGTTTGAACGAATCAGACATCAATTTGACTAACATGTCGGATGCGAGCTTTGTGGAAGATAATGCCAGCGTAGAAGACACTGCCTCGAACGATACCAACACGTCTGTTGCAGAAAACGGAACCGTCCCCAAGTCCGCAGATGACAATGCTTCTTCTGATAACGTGAGCACGTACAACGTGTCAGATGCATTCGAGAATGCGAGCAGTCTTGATGACAACTCTACAGAAGAAAGCACTGCTTTGAACGAGTCTGTCATCAACTTTACCAACATGTCGGATGAGGACTATCAGGAAGAGAACGCCAGTATGGAAGGCAGTGGCACGAACGATACAAACATGTCTGCTGCGGAAAATGAGACACTTGACATCTTCTCACCCGGCCCAAATGCATCAGACCAAAACATTTCAGATGCCAACGTGAGCATGTACAACGAGTCGGATGTATTTGATAATGCGAGCAGTTTTGAGGACAACGCGACAGGGCAAGGCACTGGAGTCAACGAGTCAGTCGCAAACTTGACCAACATTTCGGATGACATCTTTGTGGAAGAGAACGCAAGCGTGGAAGGCGTTGGCGCGAACGATAGCAACATGTCTGGTGCTGATAATCTCACTGGTGACTCGAATGCTACTGACGCAAGTGTCGCAAACTTGACGGAGCAAAATACCTCAGATGCCAACGTGAACATGAGCAATGTTTCATATGAATTCGACAATGCGAGCAGTATTGAGGACAACGCGACGGGCGATAACATGGGTTTGAACGAATCAGCCACTAATTTCACTAACACGTCGGATGCGAGCTTTCTGGAAGAGAATGCCAGCGTGGAAGGCGTCGACTCGAACGATACCAACGTGACTGCGGTAGAAAACCTAACCGTTGACAACTTTACTGCTGACTCGAATGCCTCTGACGTAAGTTTCGAGAACTTGACGGAACCAAATATTTCAGACGCTAACGTCAGTATGTACAATGGGTCGGACGCTTATGAAAATGCAAGTTATCTTGATATTAATGCGACTGGGGACGATGTCGTCAACTTATCAGATGTAGATAACTATTCTAGACGCTTCGCGTAACCCCACCAGCCCATCCATAAACGATGCCCAGACGAGTGGCCCTGATCAGGGACGTGGAGGAGCATGCAGTGAAATAGAGAGCAGACGTCAAACCCCGCGAGGGTGAGGACAGGAGGAACCGGAGGAACAATAGGAGGAGTATGGAGAGGGGGAGAGGGCAATCTAGGTGCGCTCGCGTCATTTCTGACGTTTTACCCCTCCCTCCCATCCCTTACCATGGCTAGATCTCTTCTCTATGAGCACAATCGGATGTCGTAGCATGGCATAGCATTACATGGCATAGCATGGTTTTGAAGATCAACGCGTAGCATGACAGAGCATGGCGTGGCGACGCCCCAAAGTGGGGGGGGGGCTTTACGGCCCAAAGAGTCAACGAATCCACACCGAATGTGTAATCACTTCCGATGGTTTCTTCGGGAGACCATTTTCTAGATTTTGGGGCTTCTTTGGAAGGACCGAAACCATGCCGTGGCATGGCACTGGAAATGATGACGCCAGCGCTGCAGCGGGAGCACGATTCGGAAC